CCCCCCAATGTTTTTTGTTTTTGTAGAAATTGTGTATATAGTGGTTAATTACACAACGAAAAAGCTTCCTAGTTTCTATTTCCATCCCTTTTTTTTTTTGCTCTGTCCCAGAAAAAAAAAGAAGGAAAAAGAAACCCCTTGGTCATTAATGGGAATTCAAGGGGAGTGAGGGCAACCCTTTAGCATGTTGGCTTTCCATTTCAAGTAGCATCAATGACTTCTGCCTTTGGTATTTGTTTCTCTTCCCCGCCGCCAGTGCTGAAACACCCAACAGACAAATGCCATTACATCCCCTTTCTAAGGACAAACATATCTCTCACTCCATTAACAGAGAACTTGAATTCTGGTTTATGAAAGATATTATATATGTATGACTTACATGTTAGATCGTGAGGAGGTGCAAAGTCGTAATCGTGTCTTCCCCTCCAGATGCAGCAGAAGTATACACCAACTAGCGTCAGTACAAACACCACTGCACACGACACTGCTATCCCTATTTTACCTCGTCTCGACAAGTGCCCGTTTTCGAAGAACACAGGACATGACGGAAGAGATGGTACTCCGCATAATCCCTTGTTTCCAGATAGACTGAAATATTATTGGAAATCGTTTTAGTTGAGTGAAAAATGAGTCAGAGAAGGCGACGAGGTAATAACACAAACAGAACATACTCGATGATTCCACCATGAACACCGACTGAATAGAGTTCTTCGGGTACTCTTCCTTCCAACTGGTTGCCATTCAAAAGCCTAACACAACAACATTATTCATAATTTGTTTAGCCAATTCGGTCACAGAAATTCCGTCCTCTGCTTATATGGGAGGAACACGTTATACGCACACAGTTCATCAGTCAAGAAAGAATGATTAAAGCAGCTTGCTTCTTACACGAGCTTTAAACTTGAAGATGTCAGGCTTTCAGGAATCGGCCCTGTGAACTGATTGTTTGACAAATCCCTACAACCGAAAGAGGGAAATGATGAGCATAAATGGCTAAAATTCTCCCTCGTCCCGAGCACATAAAACCATTCAGAATCCTATTTTCGGCAACTTAATATATTATGCGTGAGACCGTGTGAGGTTTGCAACTTACAGATTCACAAGGGACTTCTGACCAAGCCCTGGAGGAAGTGGTCCACCTAGAGAATTTGAACTCAGGTTGCTGCAAAAGGAAACAAAACGATTCATGCCTTTGATCGATGAGTACAGAATATGAAGCTAACCCTTCAGATCGCCATGCACCATTGACAATATAATGAGCAAGTAAACACTGTAATGCCCATAGACAAAGAAGTCAGCAGGTGATACTTACAGGCTATTCAAATTTGTCAGAAAATTAATCTGCTCACTGATATATCCTCTCAGGCCCTGGCTACCAAGGTCTCTGAAACAAGTAAAACAGAATGAGGCGAGCTCTATCTATCCGAAAGAAGTGTATAAACAGCAGAATAGATATAGCGAGGTGGTAGATCACACATCACAGATACTAAAGATACTAAACACAAACAGGGAAAAAAAAACAACAGTGAACAGTGTAGTGTTGTTAATAACGCAGCAAAAAATTGTTCCAGGAAGCTGATGGCTAGATTACCATACTGCCTAGACTAAGTTCCAGATAAATGAAGAAGTCAAATATATGTGTATAAACTAAATACAGTGTTTGCTCAAATCGATCGTTATCAATGCCAGTCGGTTGAAGCATCATGATCTAATTTTCAGCTTAAATACAAATTCGACTCCTAAAACATAATGACAGAGAACGCAGAACAATACGGATGAGTTGTGGTTAGGGGTGAAATGCCACTCGAACCCAGAGCTAAACAATCTTGGATACAATGGTATCCAAGGAACTCACATTTGGAATATAACGAGGCCAGGTCCGTGCGGGTTGGGATGGCATGCGACTCCTTCCCAAGCATCCCAGCTAGTGGGAGCACAGGGATCACCATTCCAACCCATTCTATCCGGGACACGAAGTGAATCCTTAAGCGCTTTCATGGCAGTCACTGCCAAAAAACCCAGAGCCTTGTTAGCACTCACATCGATCCTAAGGTAAACAAACAATTCAACACCTAAATGTCTGAGTATTTCCGGATTTGATCAAGCAGAAGAAAATGTCAAGAACTTAGCTAACTTTTTGTTTCCCTTTCTATCGAAGACGAGTGAATTGATTGCTAACCATTTATGGAAAGACGGAGAAACTAAGTAAGAAACAATTCAACGTCATCTCCCCTTGTCTCGCCCAATTCAGTTCTTACGAATTCTCAGATTCCAATCAAATTGCTACCATTAAAGTTCACATACCTTGCTCAGGCACTGTGGCCAAATCAGCAGGCCGACGACGGGCGACAATCTCACGGTGACAGTAGTACTGCTCAGATTCTTCACAGTATAATTCAAACTATAAGCCGCAAATCCCCCGACCAAATTGTAGATATCAACTCTGCTCACATTGTTATCGTTCACCACCACATCAAACACTCTCTGCCCAGCCTTCTTCACAGTTGAATCGATCTCGGCAAAATGGAACCAGAGCAAGTAATCGAGCTTCGCGTCCACTTCAAGCTCGTAGACCAGCGAACCCCCTCCTGAGACCGTCACCGCCGTTTGATACAGCTTCATGGGGAAATAATTCGGCGCCTGATCCGCACCTTTGATCTTCTCCAGAGTCGACAGCGATCGAGCCGCCGAGTTCGAGCTCTCCGACCGAAAATCGGCGTCCGACTGCCACGACCGGCCGAAACTGTCGGTATGATTCGTGAAACCAGGCCCCCACTGATCCGAACCGCATGAGAGCCTCCCGTAGTTGACCAGCATGGCATCGTGACCAGTCCCCGACGCATCATACGACAACGGATCAACTTGTATGATCTCCAAGGAACCTACAAGGGGAGGATCGGTGGCGATGCTGTAGAAGCACAGATCGAGCTCGCCGTCATCGACGAACGCGAAAAGATCGGAGTAGGAACCATCGCGGACGAGATTCTCCGGCCACGGCGATCTCCAGGAGAAAACGAGAGTGCCTTCGACGGAGACGTCGAACGAAGGGGAATGAGACTTCCCGTCGTAGTTATCGTAGACGGTGAACGTCCTGATGTAGTAGCGACCGGAGGGAAGAGGGACGACGTAGCAATTCTTCTTGCCAAAGGAGAGAGGGAAGTACCTGAGGGTCTTCTCGGCGGCGAGATGGAACCGGAGAGGCTCGGAGACGACGGCGGTGGCACCGCCGGAGTAGAAGCGGTCGGGAAGCCATGAGCGGCTGAAGGCGTCGGCGGAACCTTCGGGAGATCCACAGTCAATGTAAAGAGAAGTATCTGCAAGGAAACAAAAACAGAGGAAGAAGAATCCAGTTCAGCATCAGATCTAGAAATCAGAGCACCTTCCATGGAGATTCACAGAGAGAGAGAGAGACGTACTGAAGGGGAAGGAGAGGGATAGGGAGAGGAGGAGAGAGAAAGAGAGGAAGAAGGAGAGAGAGAGGAGGGGCATTGTGGGGATAGTGAAATTTCTGGATCGAGAGAGAGAGAGAGTAAAGAGTGAAAGTACTGTAAAGAAGAAGACGGGAGAGAGAGAGAGAGAGAGAGAGATGAAGGCGAGATTTGCGGGAAAGGAGTGGACTTACATTTGCTAATCAAAGACATTTTTACACACTTTGATGCTTTTTTTTTTTGGCGCTAGATTTCTGGACCATTTTATTAATTAATTTTTGTCACCCAATTTATTTATTTATATCAAAACTTATATTATTTCTATAATGGTACAAATCTATAAGAGTTTCGAGACATTCATTCATTTTAGTGTACAAAATGCCCAACTCTAATCAACATAGATTTGATAAATTCATTTATTTAATCGGTGTAAATGCTGAGGGAATCTATGTGAAATATAAAGATAAATATATTACATAACGTCAGATAATTGACAGTGCATGTGAACAGGATATTTAATGAAAGGTGAAATAAATACGTCACCATCCAACAATAAAACCAACCCTCCATGCACTACCCGACAATTACCTCCTCTGTTTTTTTAACCTGAAAATGCGTAATTTATATAATTAGATTATAGAAAATTCTAAAAAAAATACATAAATTGCATTTAAAAAAATACATAAATTTTATGAAATATAACATAAAAATATATAAATATATGTATTTTTATACACATTGTGAAGTGTGTATCGAGTCCTCACCACTTCCCTCCGACACTCGTACGTGCGATAAACGAAAGAGACACCGGAGTTTTTACGAGTTCGGTTACCGAGTTACCTCGGGCCTACGTCTCGGCCGGAACGGAGCCGGCGAATCCACTAGGAACGAAGAATACAACAGAGAAGGGATAACACACGATGGCTCTCCACACAAGGTCGGAGGCTCACCGAGAAACACCAAGAGACAGGGTACGAGACACTTACCGACCTACTCCGCGACTCACCTTTGTGACCGCCACCGGTCAGAAGCTTCTCCATCACCGGGAAACTCTTCCTCCGTCGCGATCTTCCTCTCCTTCCCACGATCGCCTCTGTGATCGCCTTTCTTCTCTCCACCTCGAGCATCGCGCCTCTCTCCGTGTCGAAGTCCCGAAACCCATTAGGGTTTCATTAACCCTCAGGATGAAACGTTGCGTTTCGGGTTAAAACCCGAAACCTCCTTCCCAAAAGGAAGGTTCTATTTCTCCGCCAAATGGGCCTTAGGGCCCAACAATCTCCACCTTGGTGGAGAAAGAGAACCGGAAATAAAAAACAATAAACACTAGTGGTTCGCCGTTTCCAGCACCGATCGACTTTCGTCGATCCCTCGACTTTCGTCGTAATTTAAAGCGTAACTTACCTGACTTACCTCACTTACCTGATGTCGGAGTTAGTCGCATGTTGCTGCCTTTGAACCTGATGAAGCTCCCGTCGATGACTCCTCAAGACCTCGTCGCCTTATCCCGCCGCCGATCCTGCTCATCCAAACCTGAAACACTCGGTAAACGTGTTAGAACGTTCACCCCCGATAAGACTCGAACCGTAGTCCTATCCCGCATCACCCGACTGGCGAATGCTACCCTCGGTTGTATGACTCCCTAGACCGTCTACTAACCCTCCTAGTAAAGTCCAAGACTATACCCGCTAGCTAACCCGAGGATTATACCCGACGTCTACCCGTCTCCTAAGTCTATCCCGACTTCCCCGAGACTAACCTGAGTCATACTACCGAAAACCCGCTAGATACCTAGCCCGGATCCCCGTGAAGTCTATACTACCTATAGATATACGACTTCTACCCTCGGACCCTAACCTGCCAACTAGAATTGTCCCACGGTTTTGTCCCGCGAAGACTTTTCTAGTCCTCTAAGAATGCTCCACCGAGAATAAGAGACACGTGAGTGCACGTGCTCCACCTCGAGAGGGAGTGTCCTAGCGCTCCAACCTACACCGACTCTACCCGGTGTAAACCCGACACCTCCCTGCTCACACCATCTCCTGAGCATCCTACCCGAGGAAACTCCACCTAAATGTGGAGACCTCACCTCCTGACCTACCACCGAGAACCGAAGCAGCTTCGGTTTACTCCTCCGAGGTCATATGTCCTTCTACCTCGGACTCTCCCTACCTCGTCATCCGGGATCTACAAATCCTCCATGTAGGATCCCTACCTACCCGCGGAACAACTCACTCCACCTGGTCCTTGGCCTACTCCTGCAACCCGATTTCTCGGGTTTTGCCCGAGACCCCTAGTCCTTCCACCATACCCCTTTCGGGGTATACCGAGCTAGACAATCTAACTCCATCATCCTAAGACGATATAACCAGAGCCTAAAATGACTCAACCCGGAAGTGACTTACCTGACCCTAGAAGTGATGTAACATGACACGAGGGATGAGACCGAACCCTAGAGGACTTAACCCTAGGTATATTTCTACCTAGCCGTGCTTAAACACGCTCTAACCCTAAGTCTATCGGTCCTAAACCTAGGTACGTCTCTACCTAATCAGACCTACAAGACCTAGAGAACACGACCTGACCGGACTTAACCTAGGTACTCAACCTAAACCGATCTAGCGGACCTTATACCAAGTCTAACCGGACAACACCCTAGGTACATCTTACCTAAACGGATCTAACACACTCTAGACCAGACCTGATTTGACTTAACACAAGGTATATTTCTACCTAAACGACCTCCTAGACTCTCGCAGAAACCTGATTGGACTTACCCTAGGCATAATTTTGCCTAACCGACCTATTAGACTCGAAACACAGCCTACTTTAAGACCTGATTACGTCTAACCAGACCTAACTTAAGGCTAACCAGACCTGATTACGTCTAATCAGACCTATAACACCGAGTCTACATGGCCCCCAACACAGTCCTAACCAGTTCTACGATCCCGAGTCTACCCGGCCCCTCACAAAGTCCTAATCAGACCTACCCAAGTGCTACCTAGATCCTAACAGCCCTAGTTTGACAACCAAAAGTCCCGACTAGACCATCACACGACCCTAATCAGACCTAAGCCAACCCTAGTCGACCAACCACTGATTAGACTTTTAGCACCCTAATCAGATCTGAACTAAGCCTAATTGACCTAATTCTAATCTGATCAGACCCTATAAACGCCTAAAACCAACTCCTACATACCTGCCCTGATCTAAACCGATCCCTACAGACCTATACCTAGTGATTCTAGACTTAACCAACCCCTAAACCAACCCGTTTTAGTTAAAATCCACCTAATCAGACCTAACCGGTCAATGTACCGGACTCTATGACTCAAACCTGGCACTTAGGAGTCCTATCTAGTCCTAAACTAGATAATACCTAAATCTACAATCAGATACTAATCAGATCAGACCTAGACAATGTCTCTATAGACATTCTAAACCTCTAATCAGACCTAACCAAGTCTATTTTTCAGATACTAATCTGATCAGACCTAAACAATGTCTCTATAGACATTTTAACCTCTAATCAGACCTAACCAAGCCTATTTTGACTTAATTACCTACTGATCAGACCTAGACTAAGCTAGACTAGCTCAAATTTGGCTTAACCAGACCTAACCAAGACCTAAACAGCACTTACAGACCTATATCAGACCTAGACAGTCTACTACAGACCTGTACCAGCCTATTTAAGTCTAACCCGACCTCCTACCTAGCTAAACAAAGTCAAATCCAACCTATTCAGACCTATACTGAACAGAAACCGGAATCTATGACCTACATTAGCTAAACCGAGATCTAAACAAGTCTAACCCTAGTGAATTTTCACTAAACCAAGCCAAATTGAGTACTAGACCAACCTAGCAGGGTAAACCGATCACTACAGACCCTAATCTACCCTAAACCAGTCCACTATGCCCTAAACCAGACACCATCAGACCTAATTTGGACCATCCTAACCCTAAAGCAGTTAGTTCTAGTCCTAATTATACACTCCAGACCCCCAAACTGACCTAATCTAGCCCTAAACCACGAATTCAGATCCTAACCCGACCAATACCAGCCCTAACCAGATAATTCAGATCCTAAACAGACCTCTACCAGCCTAAACCCGATCTGATCTTACCTAATACCGGACCCAATTGACCTATACGGTCTAATTCTAGCCTAATTGGACGAACAGACCCTCACATTAGACCTAAACCAGTCTAAAACCGGCCCTAATTCAACTCCAATCAGACCCTATTGGTCTAAACCGAACAATTCTAGCCCTTCCCAGATAAATCAGACCTTAACCAAGACCTAAACTAGCCTAAACTAGTCTGAATTGCTCTAAACCGGACTCAATTGACCTAAACCGGACCCAGATTGACCTGAACCGGTCTAAACCGGTCCAATTGACCCTAAACCGGACCTAAACCGGTCCGATTTGACCTAAACCGGTCAACTGTTGACCAAATTGGTCAACGAATTGACCGAACCGGAGTGAACCGGTCTGAACCGGTCGGAACCGGGTCTGAGCCGGACTGAACTGGCCGGAATCCGGTCTGAACCGATGGAACCGGGTCAGACCCGATATGACCGCCGATAACCGGACTTGGATCGAATCGAACCAGGTTCGATTGACCTAAACCGGGTTAAACCGAAATTGGATCGATTAAACCGGTGTAAACCGGGTTTAATCCGAAACCCTAATTTCGGAAACCCTAGCCGCCGAGTCTGCCGAGTTGACTCGGACGTTGACTCACCCGATCCCTCCACCCAACCCTAACTCGGACGAGTTCGGACCGAGTTTCGCCGGAATCGGGCTTTCTCCGCCGAGTTCCACCGAGTTTCTTTGAAACTCGGACTCAAATCGGAGAAAAATTGCGGAAAGATAATGAAAACTCGAGTCAAGAGACTCACCTGGTTACCGGTTTCAAAACGAGTCTTGGCCGCGTCAGCTGTCTGAGATTTCGGATCCCGAATCTTCGCCGCCGACAGTACCACAGACCTCAGATCTTCTTCTTTCGAGTCCCGATCTACCTCCGATCTTGCGCCTTTCACACTCAGTAGAAAGTTAGAACGCTCAGAAAGACTCGACTCGGAAATGAAACCGGAAACCCTAACTTACCTCGCCTGACCGGCGATGCTCCCTGGATCGGAACCGGAGCTCTGATACCACTTTGTGAAGTGGATATCGGATTCCTCACGGTTCTCTCCGACGCTCGTACGTGCAAGAAACGAAACGACACCGGAGTTTTAACGAGTTCGGTTACCGAGTTTCCTCGGGCCTACATCTCGGCCGGACGGTGCCGGCGAATCCACTAGAATAGAGCGGAAACAACAGAGAAGGGATAACACACGATGGCTCGCCACACAAGGTCGGAGGCTCACCGAGAAACACCAAGAGACAGGGTACGAGACACTTACCGACCTACTCCGCGACTCACCTTTGTGACCGCCACCGGTCAGAAGCTTCTCCATCGCCGGGAAACTCTTCCTCCGTCGCGATCTTCCTCTCCTTCCCACGATCGCCTCTGCGATCGCCTTTCTTATCTCCACCTCGAGCACCGCGCCTCTCTCCGTGTCGAAGTCCCGAAACCCATTAGGGTTTCATTAACCCTCAGGATGAAACGCTGCGTTTCGGGTTAAAACCCGAAACCTCCTTCCCAAAAGGAAGGTTCTATTTCTCCGCCAAATGGGCCTTATGGCCCAACACACATTTCATGTATTAAAATATCAAATTAACAATTCATATATTTTTTATGATATATTTTATAAAATCCATGTATTTTTATGGGATTTGTCCATTAAATTATTAAACTAATAAGAAAACCCCGAAAATACACTTGATGAAATAATTACCTTGTTTTTGACAAAGTCTACAAATAAAACGTGTTTTATTCAGTTCAAAAGTTTCATGGCACCCACTTACTTTCTGCATAATTAAATCAGGCTTATTTGGTGTTGATTTTCATTAATATAGATTATTAATGACATTTTAAATGTTAATCAAGGGGTAAAAACGTGATTACCACATTGTGTTAGTGTCCTAATCTCGGAGCCAAATTTCCCGTGACAAGATAACTGTTCTCAACTCTTTGTCGTATTTATTTGCCAGTTATTTCCATAATTTTAAAAAAGGGTTTATTATAAGAATCAAAATTAATTTATATTTTTATATTGGGGAAGTTGTTTTGGGAGTCGTTAGTTCGATATTAGTAGTTTGTGCCGAAATTACTCGCAAATAGTAAATATTGGGATTTTCTTGAATTCATGAACCATATAAAATGTGTAAATTAATTTAATAAAATTCGAGTTTACTATCAGGAGTAATTATATTGTTTTACAATTTACTTATACGGATTTCAAATACAAATTGGTCTATTAAAATTTAACTAGCAAAAGAAAAAAACTTAAATTTGTATTAGCATATTATATTATATTATATTATATTATATTATATTATATTATATTATATTATATTATATTATATTATATTATGGAATTCTCAATGTTTTCCTAATCCATTTTATTAAAAATAATCTCCATGAGAGACTATCTTATTAAATATTCGGTTTTATTTAAAAAGAGGAATTCAAAACCCATACACATCCACCCACTGGCCCATAGCTTTAAACATTATTGGGCTTATTCAAAGGCCCATTAATAATTTTTTAAAAGCTTAAGGCCCATTGACAGTTTCTCGTGAAAAGTCGAAAAGATTTATGTGATAAAAAAAAAAAACAGAAACTAGTGGTGCCAATTCGACCACATTAAAAAAATATAGCAATAAAAATAAAATAGATCTTTCACCTTAACCAAAGATTATTAAACTCTTTTTTTTCCCACGTAAAAAATATTATTATTACATAAATTTCAACATTATTAATCCACCGTATTTTGGTCCATAAATATAGCAATAAGACATAGAAGTGAAATCGAATCCAAAAATTTAAGTCCCATTAGACCACCAATTATTAGGTTAATCACTTAAACTTTGATTTAAATAGTTTAAACTCTAAAACAACGACCCGAACCAATTTATGCGACTCCATAAACATACACACCTGCAATCTCTATTAGGGATGGCTTGCTAGTTTAGATTTAAATTATGTTCGGTTATTTCGATTTTAGAAAACTATAATCGTTCTGTTTTTTATTAAATTTGGTTCGATTATGATAAAATACTCATTTAAAAAAATTAACAGTTTTCGATTATTTTTTATTCGGTTCGGTTCGAATTTGGATTCGATTTTTTCATTTAAAAAAAAAATCATATCCATAAAATCATATCCATTTCATTTTTTATCGAATTCGATTAAATTACAGTTATATATTATATTACTAATCATTTCGTTAGATTCGGTTCGATTATTCGATTACTAACCAAATAAGTCTCCCTAATTTTTGTGACCTAAGTTGGATTTTCCCCCTAAAATGGAGAGATTGAGAGATATTTCTTGAACAGCAAGTTACCTCTTGGAGGAGTCATTCTATAGTAAAGAAAAAGGGGCATTATTAAAAATACCCTTAATTTGCTATTTCTACTTCAAGACCTATCATTGTGACCATGTGACCGAAATATAGTGTGGTCACATATTGATCACATTGTTCATAACGTTAAATTTATGATGTTTTAATCAAATGATTAGTAAGATATACAATGTATGAATATAATGAATTAGTGTGATCACCATAAATTTAACGTTATAATCGATAAAAATCAAAATGTGACCATATTATATTTCGGTCACATGGTCACAAGGATATGTCTTGAAGTAGAAGTAGCAAATTAAGGGTATTTTTTATATAATACCAAAGAAGGGTCAAACAAATGCACATTGATAGATCTCGTGTAAATGTCCTAGCCATTTTTAATTAACTTATATGTAAAAAGCAAAAATCTTTCCGTACGCGTTTAAGTAATTACTTGCAAACCTAGCTGTAATTAATTATTCAAATATTGCAGTAAATTCTTACTCTAATCATCTTTTGATTATTTCTTTTTGGTTAAAATTAAAATGAGGATAATGAATAATAAACTGTGGTTACTAATGTGGTCGGAGATCACATTATCCATTAGGATTATGCCACCTAATTAACGCCTAACCGCTCCCGTTTAGTTATATAATTGTGCGATTAGGTCGGTCTCCTACCAATTTCGGAACAATGCATTTCATACACTCCCCACATTAATTATAATATAATCAAATGAGGAAAAAATGTATATTTTTAGTCCCCCCCCCCCCAAATTTTGTCATCTAGTATCTATTTCAGTTTTCTAATTTCCTAAGTATCTATTTAATTACAGATTATATTTTATGTTATAGTTCCGAATAATTCGCGGTTTTCTTTAAGTGATTTTCTCTAGATTGTGCTCACTGAACCCATCCAACCATAACTATGCCAAATCTTATTTAAATATTCTCTTCGGTTCTGTAACATTTTGTCTTTTCGTATTTGTTATCGCATTATATTCCCTTTCATCTCCATTCAAATCCATATAATTTATAGAAAAAAAAAATAGAGATTAGAGATTAATAATCAAAGGTCACAAATCAGCACACTAAACACTCCGATATCGTTTGTCGAAATAATGGCCGACCCATCTCGCTGGTCGGATCATTCCGATACCCAACAGCATCGGTTTGACTCGACGCTGACGTGGCAATATGTTCCGGAAAAAAAGTTTTTTTTTCCTTTCTTGATACTACAAAATGTTATAATTTGTATGTAAAGCCAACTAGATTAACGATCAAACGACTCGTTGCTAAATCAAATCTAAACATACAAAATTAAAAGCAGCATTAAATGTTTGGTAAATTCAATCTAGGGCTTTGTAAGTTCATTGATCACAAAGGATAGATGAGGTAGATCTGCAATCAAAGCATGAGAGAGAGAGAGAGAGAGAGAGAGAAGATAACCCACGACTCTTTATTTCACATTTCACAAACTTTGACGAGCATGTGACCGAGATAATATCTACTAGGCAAACCACTCTTAGGGCAAAGATTCCTATCTCTCTCTCTCTCTATATATATATATATATTCACTTATTATATATGGGTATATACTATATCATGTGAGGCCCACACTATGGGGGTATGGAGGGTCATAGTGTCCCGTGGGTTAGGGAACAGTGCCCTCTCTCCATCGGACCTACCCGTCGCACCTTTCCTAGACCCGACCGGACCGGTCCGGTTCGATTCCTCCTCTCTTTCTATATATAACCCCTCAACCCAATTCTTCAAGTTCATCCATACCCACATACTACACACTTCTCTCTCAAGAACCATCTCTCTCTCTCTCTTTTATCGGAAATGAAGGTGACGGGCTCGAGCGTGGGAGGGTCGAAGAGGAAAATGTGGAGCCGTGGAGTAAGTGGAGTCATAAGAGAGCAAAGGTCGAAGCTTTACATCATAAGAAGATGCGTGGTGATGCTTATTTGTTGGCATGATTGATCATCCATCGTCATTATCATGATCACCAAACTCGTATGATGATGCAACAAGATCATCATGACTAAGCATCATATATATATATATATATACATATATTCTTTTATCGTGTTTAACTATACATACTTGGGAAGATGGGGTTGTGGAGCGTCATATATATATAATTTTGTAGTTTTTTTTTTCAACCCCGGTGAAGGGTTTTGAAGATATGTAAATTAGTAGTTGATTAGCTATCTATTCATATATTAATACTCTGTTTTTTGAAGGGCGACCTTTGTTTTTATTTTATTCATAACATTCCGTGAATTTGTGAATATTAGAATAATAGAAAAAACAATAAAAAAGATGGATCAAAGTAAAAAAAAAAAAGTATTTACCTTTTAGTAAAGAAACTAAAACGTTTTTTCCCCGAAAATATAGTACGGATATTGGATTGATGATTGAATGAAGCAAAGTGGGATGAGCCCATAAGCTTCCCAAGTCACGATTTTTTTTTAAAATAAAGTCAAATAAAAAATTACCCTTTTCACTATTCTCTAAACCTTCACTACGAACATCATTTCTGTTTAATGATTTTAATTTTTTTTTAAAAAAAAAAAAGAAAAGGAACGGAGAGCTTTGCCATGGAAGCACGCCCTCATCATTTGTAGTGGTCAAAACGCCGTTAGTGGGACCGTCTAATATCACGTTGGTGACGGAACCCTAGTAAGACACGTGTACGGTCGAGATCGATTTTATCAAGAAACCACATGGATATTATTTATTCTCCTAAAAAATTAAAGCTTCTCCTGCGTCTTGCGGTGCCACGTGTCACACGGATTCTCGTGTCTGCGGTTGAGTACAAGCAAATCAAATTATATAAATTAAGAGAAAAACAACAAATGCTGCCTCTTGGAATAAAATCGCCCGTCTCCATTGCATTAAATTGATTTTTGTAAACTTTGAATACACGAATTTTAAATTTTTATTCGTGGGGAATAAATATGGATATGGGTTTTGGATTTAATTTTTTTTTTGAAGAAAGAAATGTTGTATTTGTTATAAAAGATGTACAGAAATCTTTCAAGAAACACTATAGTTGTCGGCCACAAAGAGGGAAACGTCCCCTCATATAACTTTCACATTCGCCAATGAGTATCACATTAGAAATCAACAACCCTTACACGCCCCATTACAATATATATATATATATATATATATATATATATATATATATTCCAAATTTAAGTAGAAGTAATGGAAAACAAAATTCGTCTAAATCAAATCGGATCAAATGAAGATGAAAGAATTACAGTGAAAAAAGAAGAAGAATTAAAGCAAATTTAACACGAGATATGTTTATTTAAATTATGATCAATTCATATATATATGAATTCCTTTCAATAGATCGGATTCAAAATACCTTTATCGGGATTTAATATATTTTAAATGCAAACTGTAAACTATATTTTCAAAAACATAAGTTATCACAAAAATAAATATTAATCAAATTGCATATATATATATATACCAATTTTATTCCAAGCGTTACCTCTAATTCAACTTTTGTCATCTTTCAAACTCATGATTCTATGTAGGCTAAAAAAACTATATTATGCAAAAGGGTTATGCTAAAAATACGCAGTCTTCTGCATCACCGTGATTATATAATTGTCGTATTTCTGAATTAAATAATTATAAAATGATAATGTGAAAATCCTAAGCATTTCAGCTTACGACTGAAACATAATATCCCAAACCCAACGGTTGGTCCAATAATATTAAATGAAATTTGAAAAAAGAAAGAAAGAAAGAAAGAAAGAAAGAGAGAAAACGACAAAAAAAAAATAGAGTATGGTCAAAGGCTGGGCTTTTACCGAGCCCACGTGCGAGGCCTAATTTTGCTGGCCCCGACCCGACCTCCTCCACCGCCAAATCATAGGCCTCTTTTATTTATTATATACATACATATATATATATACATATATATGTATATGTATATGTATGTATAATTGTTTGTTTTTATGTGGATATATATATATATATATATATATATAGTGGCTACATGGTCACGATACTATGCATGTCCTCAAATGGTTGGGGTTTGTCTTCATATATCTATTTTATTTTTCGTTTTTTTATTCATTTCATTTGTCATTGTTTTATAATCATTTTGTCTTCATATGTCTATTTTATTCATTTGACCGTGATTAATATAACTATAGGATTGTAAATTTTCTTTTCATTATAATATTTATTTTAATTTTAGTAAATACTTTTAATTATACTAATAATTATTTCCGTTTGAATTTTAGTTTATATTTACCTAAATGCGAGTAAAGATTTAGAACAAGCAATTGTTTTGGTGTGACGTTTTGTCTGGTAACGCGTCACAAATATTCTAAAGGTAGAAGTCGCGGTTCATAAAAGAACAAAGAAGAATTCTAAAGATAACAAAAAGAAACTATACACTAAAATTTCAACCAAAAAAAAAACTATACACTAAATTACATTTGATATGTTCCATTTATCTTTATTATTGCCATTTACGTTCATGATAATTCAAAGATAATGTTCTTCACAATTATACATAAAGAAATGATTGAGACCAGGAGACTGCAGGAACAGATTTTCATGTCCCATATCTTAATTCAATACTTCCAGTCAGGGGTATGTGTTTCGGGATGGGTGCGAATTCAGGACGGAAATGTATCGGTTCGATTATTTGTCTTTACAAAAATAGATATCAATCGGTTTTTATATTATATTTGATTCGATTCGATTTGGATTCCGGTCCGATTCTAGTTTTTATTAAAAAAAAATGATAGATTTCTTTTAAAAAATTTCAGTTTTTCAAGATTTTTTAAAATTCGGTTCAGTTCCAAGAAATTCGGTTTTCTAAAAATAATATCGTTCGAGAATTTAGAATGGTTCAAATCGAAAAAAATACCGTATTTCTCGGTTTAGTTCGGTTCTTCGGCCACCCCTACTTCCAATTGATACAAAACACAGAAAAATGATTGGGTTTCATTCAAATTTACAATTTTCTTATGAAGTTTAAAACTTTGAGAAATGCCACATTGGGTATGGCTCCAAATCTCCCTAAGCTCTCTGAGAGATTTCAAAGAACAGACTTTGAATATGATTACATCCAATTGAGAAAGCAAATCTTACAGAAGCATAACCACTAAATCTGAAACTCGGGCAAGTGTCAGTCAAGTTTTTATACATCTGAAACACTTTCCGACAGAATCTGCTGTCTTTTTCTAATCCCAGTAACCAAAAAGAATTTACAGTTTCAGTCTGCTCTTAATCATCCACCAAAAAAAACCATACACAAGGCACTACAGATTCTGGCATCAGAAACATGATCAAAATGTTAAAAAGAGTCAGATGCATCATACCAAGTTTAGGTAAGTTCCATTACTCGATTGTCTTTCCGCCGCCCCAAGCAAGAAAACTTTCCTGAGATCCGAATTCCTGAATCGAAAAAAAAACAAGAACACTTGAGGATTCCGAGAATCCAATTTTTTTTTTCGGACATGGCAGGATAACGTTGGAAAAACAAGAGAAAAGGGTCGGGTACCAGCTGGCTCAGACGGAACTCGGGTGGGGTATCAAGCTCTATGTTTGAAGGATCAAGATCGATGTTCTGACACTCCTCTAGGTCTCGTTTGAAGTCATCTGTTCCTAACCGAGCATAATCTGAGAGACGAGGTTTGATCTTTGTACCTTGATTACCTTCATCGTCTGTATTCTCTCCTCTCTTTGGTGATTGGCTTTGCAGAAGATCATCACAAAGAGACAAGGCCTCCACAAGCTGTTGTGAGTTCAGGATGTTCTGAGATCCACTATCCCACCATTTTGGATCTTCCTCAGCATGATCGGCATCTTCTTTATCTTTCACTCCGTTCTCGTTATCATCTCCCGTTCGATATTCTTCATGTTCGGGTTCAGGCTCATCATCAGGACTTGGTTCATTATCATCTCTCGTTCCATATTCTTCATGTTTGGGTCCCGGTTCATCCTCAGGACTGGCTCTTTTACAATTAGGTAGAACCTCATTGCGCATATAACCTGATTCAGCAGTCTTAGGTTTTTGTTTCGGGAAGGAAACCGAAGAAGAACAACAACAATGTCAGTTGGCACGATAGACAGTACTTAGTAAATTCATAAAGAGCATGCAAAGAGAACCTATTTTTCAGTTCAGTAATCACTCAAACATGGAGAGAAAGGAGTGATTAATGCTTTGGAGTGATTTTTATGCAAAAACAGAACAAGAAAAGTTTACCTGTGCATGAGCAGTGACAGACTTAGTCAAAAAGTGAAAATCAGAGCAGTTTCTCTCGGCATGTCGTGGCTCGGGAGTCACCAACTTTGGAGTGACAGGGTCCACTTGTGGTGTCACTGCAAAGATATCCTCAGTTACCTCTGCTTCTGCTTTACCAACTTGCTTGACAGATTGCTGCTGCTGCTGGTAGAATATCTTCGATACGACGTATTCCCCGTCCTTCTCATCCTCCTCCGTCCCCAAGTGATATTGATGCATGACCCAATTAGTTTTCCCGGATTTTCCTCCATAGAGAACCATGATTTTCTTACAACCTTTTTGAACACCATCCACTATCACAGGTTTAGTTCTACCTGTCTTATGCCACCGCACATCACCAAAATCGTCATCGTGAATCTTTCTCCGTTTTCGAGTTCCTGTGTTATAAGCTTTGATCGATCTGTGGAAGAAGTGGGACACGAGTCCATCTTGCTTAACACCTAAATGATTAAAAATCAGTAACAGTGAGACAAACTTTTGTGCAAATCCCGTTAATGAATGGAATCCCCAGAGATCAACTACCTGGTAAATTCTTGGGGTGCGTGTAACAAATCCCGTCATCTTCATCAACCGTTGGGATGAACTCATCGATGAACGGGTGGGGCCTTAAACCCGGTAAACCAACTTTTGCTTGCAAATGCCATATGATCTCCTGATCAGATGGATCGAATTTCACACCTCTAGGCAATCCTGGCCAATCACCAACGACCTGGAAATGAATAGAACTTAAACACCTAAGCAACTCGTGCACAAGATTTTCTTTTACTTGTAGCAGAGTAACCAAGGACATCAAATAATTGTTCAGACAGATGAACCAGAGAAGGAAAGAAAGAGCAGAATCATACATCACTGTTGTCTATAACATGATGGCAGTTCGGGCAATGCCTTGTAGGATTGCTTTTCCACGCAACTTTTTGCGGGTTTGAACTGGCCGAAGCACTCTTTATTTTCGTTGCAAATCGGTTTCCATCCATCAACCATGATCGCCTACACACAGCAAGAAAAGGGCCACAGTCTTGATCAATATGTAACGATAAAAAGAGGGTATCAAACACACGAATCTGCTGAAAGACCAGAAAGTTTAAAAGCTCAGTTCGCTCCCATAGCTATTTTATCGTGAAATCAGACACAATATAAAGCAGACACCATCATCCCAACACCAAAGCTGTTAATTCTCTTTTCCCAAACACTATGTTCCCAGAATCATCACCTTCAAGAAGCCAAAGGGGACGGACAAACATTAAGTTGATGCCAAATCCTAAAACATTCCGATCAAAGAAGTTCTTAGCTTTGATCCAAGTTCAAGTTCAAGTTCAATACCCTTGGTCCAGAACATCAAAGTACCACCACAGATGTTCATCGATCACAAATAAAACCGATAACATGAAACAAAACCCTAGCGACGAGACTCAAATACGCAAATTTCGCGCAACCCAGTTCGCATTAACCAGCTAAATCGCCGAAACCGAGATCATAGAACTACATTGATTAACAAAAACAAAATAGTTTTCACATTTCGCCCCCACTTGTCGATTAACATTCGTCCCGAAAATCGTACTTAGATTCCAGATTCCACTTAAAGATCAAATGCCCGATTTCTAAAACAATGCGAGATAGAAGAAAAGATGCTTACCCTGCCATGAGAGCTCGGCAAAGAAAGACGAGAGAAAAAGTAGTGGAATCGGAAACCCTAGCCAACTCCCCCAGCGACGGTAGGGAAAAGATCAAAAGTGGAAGTCACTCACTTTTTCAAGCATTTCTCGATATCCCAATCGGAATTTAAAATTCGAAAACCGGATTGTCACTGCTTGCTAATTTACGAAAAAACAATTTGTAGAGAGAGAGAGAGAAAAGATACTGGAATGATATTGTGAACATAAATGTCTGCCTCGGGAGTGGAAGGAGACCAAAGGCGCCAGTTTTATGTTTTTGGAGAGAGAAGTAATCGGCTGTGACGCGGTCCCATGCGACGACTTGCGTTGACTTCAAACCTTAAATCTAGTCGATCAGATCAACGGCTGAGATCACTTCTTTGACCCAATCCGTGTTTTTTCTTGTTCACCTATTGTGAATTAATTATCTGTACATAAAGATGCAAAATCAATGATAAGGTATATTAATCTATTTTTTAATGCTACGCAGTAGACCATCAATTAGAAGGTTATATAACTTTAAAATTACACCAAAATTTTAAAAACACACACATATATATATATATATATGCGTGTTTGTGAGAGAGAGTATATATACAGAATGGAAAAAAAAATCATATATTCCATTCGAGGGATGAGCAGAGGGTTTGCTTAGTGAAAAAAAAAGATACGAGCAAGCAAGAATGGAAAAAAAAAACTCAAGATTGGGTGGTTCAACCTGTAAAGAAGGGATCAAAGCTCTTTTTCAACCCGGGTTTGAGTACTCACTTGAGGAGGGATATTCATATGGGTTTTTCCGATCCTGTAGTCAGGCCAAAGACTCGATGAACTTTCGAATTATAAAAAAAAATGGAAAAAAAGAAGCAATCTCTTGCATTTACAGATCATAGAGATCAATAAGGCATTTCTTGCAATGCAGAATGTTACAGATACAGAAGAAGCAAGTGAGAGGGTTTGTGTAGAGCACTTTAAAGCAAAACAAGCAGGCCCAGGGGCTTCGGACATTATCGATCCAATCTGCTAGCTCAAACGCAAGCAGAGGAAGGAAGGAACAGAGCCAAAGGAGTTTTCAGTTCACGCTTGCTCAAACAACAGATCACTACCATGATGCTAAAACTTGAAGACAGTCAAAGCAACAAACAATCAGAAAGCATCATACATGCCATGCCGACCATAAGGCGTTGATGGCCATGGGGCAGGCAGAGAGAATCCTGTCAAACAGAAAAACAAAGCAATTGAACTGTCTCGTCTTAAATCCCTAACCGGGAAAACCTAATCTATTTTCTGTTTCAGATCAAGGATTCATTCAAGCCATGAACCAACAGGCCTTAGAGCTAGAGACGATCCCAGTTCCACTAACTCAGAGCTCCTTCCATTAAGTATACTTCTTTCCCCCTAAAATTTTCGAATAAATTCAGCTTCCCGCTGTATGTATATGAAGCTGAAAACTCCATAATTTGGGCCTCTGTGCGAATAAATCTTAGGATTTTAATTCGAGATATATTCCCTAACTATTGACAGGCATCTGCTACAGGGCGGAGATCCAATGCAGTTCCAGATTATCAGAATGAGCTCGATTAACTTGCAGAATTCCCGATTTTCCGATAAGCCACAAACGCAGCAAAAGAAATATTTGAGGAAAAAAACTGACCACCATGAATGGGAGAAGACATGTTCGAGCTTCAGAGAGAGAAGAAGTGTGAAGGAAAAGAGCAAACCGGCTTCCGCACTCTTCTCCAGCTTATTACTACTCTTCTCTGCACCAACACTTTCGCCCTTCAACGAAACCCTAATCCCCAAAATCAGATCCTTATTCACGGCTTCTCAACCAACATCCGACGATTGATTCCCCGAAATTTCTGGGGAAAAAGGCGTTTTAGGCGGAAATTCAAAGGGAAAACAACCGGGAAGGATAAGAGAGAGAGAGGGCTTTCGTTTTTAAAATTGACCAAAATACCCTTATCGGGCCGTCTGAGCCCTTGCAAGGTTTTTGTTTTTGTCAAAGCCCTTACAAGATATTTCCTTATGATTAGTGTAATTTCCTTATGATTAGTTTCAACGATTTCGCTAATCCTCTCGAGTTAATTACACTAAATATCTAGGAGCAAGTAGACTAAGGTTCATGTCCTGCATGGACCAATTAAATTCATTTATTTTATAAAAATTATCCAAAACAGGAGAAATAAATTTCATTGTTGTAAATGAACATGCAATCGGGTGTTTGCTTTAGGTTTAAATAATTCCAAATTTTTACGTACTATGCATATGCATGCATGCGCGCATACCAAAGGAAAATAAATCCCAAGTATACATACACTTAAATAAATAATAATAATAATTTGCATTCCTATTCATATAGTTTTGATTTCGATTTATTTATAGATTGTAACAGAAAGGATGCACAAGCTAGAATCCCAAGCTCGTTTTCTTTTGCTTTCTTCCACATCTCCCATGCACGTATATAATGCAACATATATAATCACACCACCACCGTCATTAGTACTTTTAATTTATCTTTTTTCTAACCCACTAATTTCCACTTGGAATTACACACATACATTTTATACAACCCAAATCCACCAAAGTTAAAATTATAAACTAAAAAAACAGAAGCAAAAAAAAAAAAGCCATTACAAAGCACCAAAATGAAAAAAAAGGGCGAGTTTAGGTATCATATATAGAACCAATCACCAAAACGGATATAATCTATATAAATCCTACACTTATACGTATATATAAATATATCAGACCACATATCCAATGTCCGATCTAAATGTAGAACTGAACTACTTTTGTTCCTGTCGCGGTTCCACGATGTTTATACCGTTGTTACTACTCATCCTCTGTCTCTTTGCATTCCCCGAAGAAGAAGGTTCTTCTACTGAGCTCTTATCCATCACCGACTTCAACGCCTCTTGTATCGATCCTATGCACTGTTGTTGCTCGTCGCTGTCGCAAGCTTCTTCTCCCGTTACGAACAGGACGTTCTTGACTCGGCATCCGACCGTTGCGATCTCGGCTTTTAGGGTTTTCAGACGCAATCCTTTTAGGGTTTTGATCAGGTCGGGCAAGAGATCGGACCTGTCGTCGCAACAGATCGAAGCTTTTATTACGAACTTGCCGTCTTGTTGTTCTTCTTCCTCTGAGACATCTACTGTTATCTCGTCGGTCTCTGTCGGGACAGGGTTTGTCTCTGCGATCTGCGAAGTTTGTCGTCTTAGTTCCTTTACGTGATGGATCACCTCCGCTAATAGGGAAGCTTTGTCCGTCTGAAAAAAATGTGAAAAAACAAACGTGATAAAAGGAATACAAGTGTACATATGTTAATATGATATTGAGTATTGTCAATATTGTTTGGAACTAAAGATTTTTTTTTTTTTTGAAGATTTATAATGGTGCGTATATATATAAGTATTTTTACTATGCTGAATAATTTTGGTCCGACAATGATTGATATCGCCAAGGGAATGTAACAAAACTAATTTTTTTATTTTCCACACAAAAGCCTCACATGATTTGGAACAAAAAAGAAACGGAAATTAAAGGAAAATAGATGTGGCAGTAGCTTCCATGTTCTCAATTTCTAGGTTTTATACAAATTTAGCTCTCCATCCGTATATATAATAAACAGCATATAAAAATATGATTAACGATATAAGAGTTCGCTATACTATATTATGTTTCATAAGAAGCCCAAATATATTTTTGAAAAAAAAAAGTTGCGTATATATACAAGTATGTGGTCGGACCAATGGATGGAGTGTATATGTGTGTAATGTACTTACTTTGGTGGTGTTTGGTAATATGCTACGAAGCTTAGAGAGATGATTGTTGATCCTCTCTCTCCGTCGCCTCTCAGCTTCACTGTGACTCTTCGACGCAGCCAAAGCCTTCGCGTCCATCATCTCTTGCGCCGTAATCTTCCCCAGCTCCGGTTGCGACCCGAACGGATATTGACCCGACTCGGCTTGAACCGCCGGACCCAAAGCTTCTGACAAGATCCGGAGATGCTCGTTGTGGTGGTGGTGGTGGTGGTGTGCTGACGTGGCGCCGAACCCGTCGACAAACCCGAATCTCGATCTGTTGAAAACGCTGCCGTAGAAAGACGCCGGAGGAGGAGGAGGAGGGAGGAGAAACGGGTCGGGTCCATGGATCGGGTTGAAGGGTTGGATCGGAGGAGTAGGCCAAGGGAGGACCGGGGGGACAGAATCTTGGGGGAAGATACTCGTGAATCCGGCATTGTTACCAGGTCCGAAGATGTCGGAACTGGTGGTTTGTTGTTGTCGGGGAAGGAGGAGGTTGTTTTGGTACTTTTGTAAGTTGTTCATAGCTCCTGATGAACAATCGCCTTCTTCTTCCTTCTTTGCACACATATCACTCCCTCAATCTCTCTATCTCTCTCTATGAAAACGTCACCATCTTTGAACTCCCCTACCACACACACATGTGTATATATATATGTGTGTGTGTGAGTGAATGAGTGAGTGAATCAATGCATAAATGAGAGAGAAAATGCTTCTAAATAAGGGTAGGTAAAGAAGCGAGAGAGGAGGCAAAAGTTGGAGAAAAAGAGACAAACCCTAGCTAGCTCTCTCTCTCTCTCTCTCTCTCTCTCATACATACATACATACATACATACATACATACATACATACATACATACATACATACATACATACATACATACATACATACATACATACATACATGGCTACATACATACATGGCTTATATGCACGCGCGTGTGTTTTCTATATGTATCGTTTGAAGGATACACAGTACGGCATATTGCAAGTTTGCAACTTGTGCTTGTGGCGGAATTTTTGGAAGGCAAGAAAGGTAAATGAGCGTTGAGATTCTTTGAATTATTTATTTTTCTTTTTGGTTTTGAATTATTTCTCTTCTACACCCCCTACATATATATTTAGATGTATATATCATTTCATAACCTAAGAGCAGATAGCGACTCCATTTCAAAATATGCCTTGTGTGCTTTTATCCATATATAGAACAAAGTGCGTATAGAAAATGATATAAATATTAAATAATGCGTTTGCCTAGGGATGCTATGTTTAAGGCTATATGATGTAGTTTTTATCAATTTCACCGTAAATATAACATTTAAAAGAAAATAAATCAATTTTATGTAGATAGCCGGACGATCAAATTGTGCATATATCTACGTATATGATAATATGACGCATTGTTTGATAAATGGGAGATAGTTTTTTTTTTTTTGGGTTAAAAAATGGGAGATAGTTATCCATAAAGTTACAAATTTATTACGCAAAATAGCTAACGGATTCTTTGAATTTAAAAACAAAATTGAATATATATTATATTGTAGAAGCCAGGTCTTCGTCAAAACCCGCTGGGAGAATCGGAGGCTTTCGAAGTCTCGGACCGAAGCAGAGGGTTTGAGGGGTGTTTTGGTAAAAGTGTAAGGGCGAGAGTATAAGCCCTAGGGTTTGTTCTTTCTCTTCAGACGGTGGTTTTTCGTTTTCTTTTTCGGTTCTCTCTCTTGCGGTGGCGATCTCTCGTCTCCGTGTGTCGGTGCCGATTTCGATCGGAACTCCGGCGGTTGTACCTAGCAAATAGCGGTTTCCTCTTCCCGAGACGTAGGCACCGAGCGTTAGAGCTCGGTACCGAACTCGTACATCGCTGTCTCGCATCTCTCTTTCGTTTCTTGCTCACACGAGTGATTCGGAGAGACGGTGAGGTGAATCGGAGGGCAAATCCTCTACAAGTGGTATCAGGAGCCCGGTTCGTGGCAAGGCTCGGTGAAATCGGTGGTGTTACGCGATTTGAGGTAAGTCCGAGGTTCGTCTCCTTAGATCTGAGCGTTCTAACGTTTTTTGTGAGTGTTTCAGTTGTGAAACGGCGAAGGCGAAGCCTTCCGGCTGTAGATCGGCGGTCGACACCCACGGCGGAGCTCAGATCGGCGAGATCATGTTTCGGAAAGAGGTAGGTTCTCCCGGATCTGACTCGGACTGAGTAAATCAGCCGAGTTAGGGTTCCGAAGAGGTGAGTTCTTACTTGATTTGGTTAGGTCTAGGGTTCTGGGGGGGAAAACTGGTGAAAACCGGTGGTTTCGGGCAAATCTCGGCCGTGACTCGTTCGAGTCACGACTGAGTCATTTCCCGGGGTGAGTCAACGTCCGAGTTGACCGGGTTAACTCGGCGGCTACGCTTCCGAAAATTAGGGTTTCTGGTTTAATCCGGTTAGCCGGTTAAATCGGAATTGTCTAATTGGACCGGGCTCGATTCAAAATCGAACCGGTTTAGTCGGGTTAGGTCAAACGTTGACCAATTTCTGGTCAACAGTTGACCGGGTTAGGAAAACCGGATCGGTTCAGGTCAATTGGACCGGTTCAGGTCCGGTTTGGGGTCAATTGGACCGGTTCAGACCGGTTCGAGTCAATTTAGGTCCGGTTCGGGATAACCCAGACCGGTTTAGGTCAATCTAGGACCGGTTTAGGACAATAGAGTCCGGTTTAGGTCAATTTAGATCGGGATTGGGCCGGTTTTAGGTCTGATTAGGTCTGATTTGTCGTTTAGGTCTGATTAGGGTCTGATTTGTCCAAATAGGGCTGGGTTTGTCTGGTTTAGGGTCTGTATCGATTAGAGCAGGTCTAGATTGGTCGGTTTAGGGTCAGGATTGTCTGATTAGGACTTAAATTGGTTGGTTTTAGGTCTGATTGGTTCGATTGGGTTAGATAGAGTCCGGTTCTTAGGGCATTCTGTCTGGTATAGGGTATTTAGGATCTGTATAGGTCGATCTATCCTAGGTAATGGCAGATTAGATCTGCGGTAGACTTTGGTTACCTGTCTTCAGTCATAGAGTCCGGAAATTCTGTCTGGTTAGGCCTGAATAGGAGGATTTGGCTGAACTAGGTGAGTGAGAAGTCGATATTAGGGTTAAAATCAATAGGTACAGGTCTGTTAGGGTTGATTTTAGGCTAGATTTAGGTCTGATCAGATTTAATTAGGTCGGTTTAGACTTAGTTTAGATCTGATTAGGTTAATTCAAGTCTGATCAGGGGTAGGTAAGTCAATATTGGGTTGATTTAGGTCTGATTAGGACTTAGGGGGACAGAATAGACTCGGTTTTAGGTCTGATCTAGGTTGGTTAGGTCAGTGTTAGCCTTGGGGTAGGTCTGATTAGACGTAATCAGGTCTTAGGTAGGCAGGTTTTAGAGTCTATTAGGTCTGTTAGGTTGAAAAATACCTAGGTTTAGGTCCTCTTAGGATCGGTCTTACTCCTTAGGTCTGGTTTTTAGGTGCTCCTAGGGTCGGGTTAGTCATTCCCAGGTTAGTTTCGTTCTGGGTAGGTCTAGTGCATCCTCGGGTTAGAGATTAGGTTTCCTATTAGTGATGTCTGCCCCTCTGTATCGCGGCCTTGACGTCGAGAAGTTCGACGGCAAGGGAGACTTCTCCTTATGGAAGGAGAAGATGTCCATTAGCTTAGAGATTTTAGGGTTAGGGGACACACTAGAGGATGATCCATCTACATGGGGGGTTGCTGATGAGGGGAGCCCACAAACTCCAGCTCGGGAAACCGAGGATTCGGGAGGCCTTACGTCTCTTTCAACCGGGTCACTAGGGCCCGGGGCTAAGGGATCGGGCACTCCGGCTCTCAAAGAGAGACAAGAAAGGAGTAGAAGGGCTAGGAACCTCATAGTGCTTGCTCTAGCGGATCAGGTTCTAAGGAAGGTCATATCCGAAAGGACGGCCTTCGGAATCTGGAGGAAACTAGAGCGGTTGCACATAGAGCAATCTCTCCCCAATAGGATGTACCTCATGCAGAGGGTGTCAGGGTTTAGGATGGACAGCTCTAGGACAATAGAGGAGAATTTAGACATTTGCCAGAAACT